ACGATTCCTCCGACTCCTCCGTCAGCAGGAGGCGGGAGCTGCCCCCATCCCCCCACGCCCGCGAGGTTGGGGATCTAATTTAAAGCCTCCTCCCTGTGGCCTCTCAGCGCTGGCCACTGTGCCGCGCCCGTCCACTCCGAGCTTGACTTCGAATGTGCCGCGGGGGCCGTGCGGGCGGGGCCTTCATTCCAGAAGGGACTTGGGGGACCCAGCAAAGTCTACTTTTTTTGGGGTGGGGGAAGGGAGTTAACACCAAAAAACCATGAAGAATATGCAAGCGTTTCTACTCCTCGCGTTTTCTGTGCCTGGCAAATAAATTCCTGTCTTTTCCTACCGAGCTGTTGCCTCTCTGATCCCTGCCGTCCGCACAGCCTGGCCTCTGCCTCTGCCCGCCCCGGCCCCAGCGCCCCAGCGCCCCAGCGAGGAAGGCTCTGGCAAGCTGCATGACGTAACCACGCCTTTCTCTTTTTTAAAGGGCCAAGACTGTGAGCTGCCTTAACCTGCCATTTGTGCTGCGGTGGGCGCCGGCCTCTGGCGCCTCTCATGGTGACGGCCTGGTGCACATCTGCCCTTCCCGACTCCCCTCTGGGCCTGGAGTTTGGGTGGAGGGAGAAGGGACACCCAGGGGCGGGGCACACCCCTCCTTCCTAAAGGTTGGGTCCTGCTGTCCCCTGGGAATCCTGTCGGGACCCGGCTCCCACAGGCTTTGAGAATGTGCACGTCCAGGCTGCAGGCAGCCGCTGCCGCCATGACCTGCGACAAGACAGACCCCCCAGGGACACGCGTGCACACACCGCCATCCCGGCCTCCCCCGCCTGCCCGGAGCCCCCACAAGCGAGGTGCCCGGGTTCTCATGGGACCCAGCAGCCCAGATTCCGTCTGGTGGGCAGACCGGGGTACACACGGTGTGCAGCGCAGCTTTGGCTTGGGGCCGCCCGTCCCCTCGGCCTGGCTCTGCCGTGCAGCGCGGGGCCTCACTGGCCTTTCCTGACAGCTGTGGGTGGGAGGTGACGGGGCAGGGGTCCGGGACCTCCTTCCTCCCACCTCCGCCTCCAGCAGGCCACTTGGGAGGCACCGTGCCCAGCTCCTAACATGCAAAGGAGAAAGCCGCCACTGCACTGGAAAGGCGGCCAGGATTGGGGGCCGCGGACTGTATTCCGGGAGGTTTAGATTGTGGGCAATAAAGAAATGGACGGTATGTTGACAGCTTTGTCCCCTGCGCCCTGGTTTCCTGGGGGGTTGCTCATGCGGAAAAAAGGTGGGAAGGAGGAGAGTGGGTACATCGCTTGGGGGGACCGAGCCTGGGGCCTTGTGGCTAGTTTACCCCATGGAGCTGGAGACTTTGTCTGTGCTATAGGGTTTGCTCATCTGAGGACCAAGGTTCTCAAAGCCAGCCTGAGCAGAAAAGTCCATGAGACTCATCACCAACTAACTACCAAAAGATGCAAGTGGAAGTGTGGCTCAAGTGAATGAGCAGTAGCTTTGGGCAAAAAAGCTTAGGGCTTAGCACCCAGGCCCTGAGTTCAAGCCCCAGGGATCAGCACACCCCTGTGCACGCGCGTGTGCACGCGCACACACACACGATAACAAGAATAGAGCCCCACACTGGCTCCATGGTGAGCCGATTCTGGTGAGCATTGTTCTGATGCTCCCCAGTTGAATTTGCTTTGTGCTAGGGATGAAACCTAGACTTTGGTGCTTGCAAAGCTGGCGTCACCACCAAGCCCCAGCCACGTGACGGTTGAATGGTTTTGAACTAGAAAGGGTCTCAGTTGTGTGCCAGTGGCGCCCACCTGTCATCCTAGCTACTTGGGAGGCTGAGATCTGAGGATCAGGGTTCAAAGCCAGCCTTGGCAGAAAAGTCCGAGAGATGAGACGCATCTCTGATAAATTACTCAGAAAAAGCTCCAGTTAACCAGCAGAAAGCCAGAAGTGACACTGTGGCTAAAGTGGTAGAGAGCTCGGGGATAGTGCCCAGACCCAGAGTTCAAGCCTCAAGATGATCCAAAAAAAAAAAAATCTCACTAGCCCCAGCTGACTTCAAACTCCTTCCCAAGTGAGCGCCTGGATTACAGGGTAGAGCGCCAGGGCCTGCCTCAGGTCTCCGTGTGCACTGTGGCTTCAAGCTTACATTTACCTTTCTCACTCAAGGCTGGTGCTCTGCCACTTGAACCACGGCTCCACTTCTGGCTTTCTGCTGGTTCCCTGGATTTAGTCCCATGGATTTATCTGCCTGGATTGGCTTCAAATGGAGGATTACGAGTCCGTCCACAGGACTCACTCACCTCCGAGGGAGGGCTCAATTTAGGAACAAGATTGTCACTGGGGCCTGTGCTCACACCTGTGGCCCTGGCTGCCTGGGGGGGGGGGCAGAACAGGAGGATCAAGTCATCAGCCCAGGCTGACTCCCGTCTGAATACTGGGCATGCGGGGCACAGGTGTCATCCTGCCAGGACAGGGACCCTAAAATTGGGGGGGAGGGGTGCAGTCAGGTGCCCATCCCTCTCAAAGACCAGTAAGGTGGACGTGCGGGTGGGCACGCGGGGAGGGCGAGGCAGGGTGCGATGGAAGCGGGGGCAGGGCCCCGGGGGCGCGGGAGCACGAGGGCAGGGCCCGGGCAGGCCCAGGCCGCGGGGCGGCGGGCGCCGGGTCCCCATCCCCGCCGGGCACCAGCACAACTCACACGCGCGTCCACGCCACGCCTTTATTCTCCGTGGGTTCGCTGCGGGTGGGTCCGGGGCGCTGCGGGCGCTGGAGGCCGGGGGAACGGATCCGGCCGCCCAAGGACACGGGTGGGGGCCTCAGTTTCCCCACGTGCCCCGGGCTCGGCTCAGGCAGCAGGGGACGGGAGGGGCTGCGGCCCAGACCCCACCGGCCTCCCCCCCACGGCCCCCCGCCCGCACCCGCCACCTGCGGCCCCGGGTTCGAGTCCTCCCACTTCCCGGAGGAGGCCCGCAGCCCGGCCGCCCGCGTGCCTCGTCCTCCCCCGGGGCGAGCCCCGGCCCCACCCCGGCTCCGTGAAAGCGGCCACCGCTGCAGCCAGGTGCGAGGAAGAGCGAGTTTATTGCAGGTTCCTGCGGGGAACCTGGCGCCCGCGGCTGGCCGGGGAGCGACGCCCTCCGCGCGCCCGCTGGCGGGCGGCCGATCCGCCCCGGCTCCCGCGCGGCCGGCGGCGGTGCTCGTTCCGCGCAGGCGCAATGCGTCCGTGTCCTCTCCTCCCGCCCCTCCCGGGGCCTTCCCGCGGGGATTCGAGGATGCGCATGCGCCCTCCGGCTCTCGGGCTCTGGGAGAACACGCTTGGTCGCTTGCACCCGGGGACCACGCGGGCCCCCGCTGGGGGGGTGGGGGGGGGAGGGGGGAAGGGGCGCGCGTGCGCAGCGGCGCGCGGCGGCGGCGGCGGCGAGGGCGGCTCGGCGGGCCCCGGGGGAAGCGCGCCTGCCTCTCGCGCGTGCGCCGCGCTGGCTCAGCGCCCGGCGCGGGGCGGGAACCGCGGCAGCCGCGGGAGCCCCGGCCCTTAGCCGGAGTCCCCCGCGCGCAGCCAGCCGTTGCGCGCGACCTGGCCGGCCGAGGGCCGGGCCGACGGGCTGAACTGCAGCAGCTCGGCGATCAGGGACTTGCAGCGCTCCGACAGCTCGAGGCCCTCGGGGTACAGCACGCCGCGCTTCTGGCGCCGGGGCAGCCCGGCGATGTCCGAGTCGTCGAAGGGCATGCACCCGGTGACCATGACGTAGAGCACCACGCCCAGGCTCCACACGTCGTACTTCTTGGGGTCGTAGGGGATGCCGAGCAGCACCTCGGGGGACGCGTAGGCCGCCGAGCCGCAGTAGGTGGTGCTCAGGTCCGGGTAGCCGTGCGCCTGCCGCCCGAAGCCGAAGTCGGTGAGCTTGACGCGGCGCTCGTCGGGGCTCAGCAGCACGTTCTCGCACTTGAGGTCGCGGTGCACCAGGTGGTGGTCGTGCAGGTACCGCACGGCGCCCGCGATCTGCGCGAACAGGTCGCGCGCCTGCGAGCCGGGGATGCGGCCGTTGCGCTGCACGGCCTGCAGCAGGTCGGTGGCGGCCGCCTCCATCACGATGTACAGCTTGCCGTTGCACACCTCGATGAACTCGAAGACGTGCACGATGTGCGGGTGCCGCACGCCCCGCAGGATGGACAGCTCTCGTGGCAGGAACTTGTTGACGAAGTCCGGGGGCGCTCGCCGCCGGTCCACCACCTTGATGGCCACCGTGCCCTTGTACTTCTTGGACGTGGCCACCTTGACCTTGGAGTAGCTGCCCTCGCCTATCGTGCGACCCAGCTTATAGCCGAGTTCGCTCAGGAGTTTGTCGCCCGACATGGTGGCGCCCAGGGCGCACGGAGAGTAGGAGGCGGCTGCTGTCGGGGGGGCGGCCGGACTCCGATCTCGGGCCTAACCCATGGCGGTTGGCACCCGCGCCCCCGCACCCCCATGTGCCCACTCCCGAGCGCCCCCCGCCGCGGTGCCTTTTATCGCCCGGGTAACAATTTCTGCCTTGTGAAGTGACCGCGGGCGTCACTCGCGCGGCCCCGGGCTGGGGGCCCCGGGACCCCGCCCCGCGCGGCCCCCCGAGCCTCGCGCGCTTTGTGACCCAAGCGCTGCGCACGGGCCAGGGTGGGGCGCAGAACCGGGGCGCGGCCGGGCGCGTCCCCCGGGCGAGCGCCTCGACGCCGGGACGGCGGGGCCACCCCGGGCTGCCGCAGACCCCGGCCCCGCCGCGCGCGCGCACACGGGGGCGGGAGAGGGGGCGACGCCGGGGACGCGCCACCCCCGCGCGCCCGGGGCGCCCCCGACGGGAAGCGGACGGCCAGGCCCGCACCGCAGGCCCCGCGGCGCCCCGGCCGGGCCCGCCCCGTCGGGGGGACGAGCCCCGGGGCCCCGCCCCGTCGAGCGCACACCCCGACGCCGCCCGGCCGCGGCTCTGCCCGAGACCTTCCGGCGGACTTCCGCCACACTCGTCATGGCGGCGATCCCTGACGTCACTTCCGCCCGGGGCCGGAAGCGCGCCACCCCTCAAAGATGGCGGCGTCGAAGGTGAAGCAGGACATGCCGCCGCGAGGGGGCTACGGCCCCATCGACTACAAGCGCAACCTCCCTCAACGGGGACTGTCCGGTCAGTGTCTCCCGCGCCGCGGCGCCGGGGCCTGCGGGCGGGGGCGGGGGCGCCAGCGTGCCGCGGGCTGCCGCACCCGGGGCCCGCGGCGGCGGATGACGACGGGCGGACGTGCGGGGCCCGCCGCACCCGCCCCCCGCGCCCGCCCGCACCCGCCCCCCGCGCCCGCCCGCCCGCACCTGGCCCCCGCACCCGCCCGGCCGTCCCCCGAGCCCGCCCGCACCCGTCCCCCGCGCCCGGCCGCACCCGACCCCCGCGCCCGCCCGCACCCGACCCCCGCACCCGCCCCCCGCGCCCGCCCCCCGCGCCCGCCCGGCCGCCACCCGCTCCCGCCCGCACCTGACCCCCGCGCCCGCCCGCACCCGCCCCCCGCACCCGCCCCCCGCACCCGCCCGCACCTGACCCCCGCACCCGCCCCCCGCGCCCGGCCGCACCTGACCCCCGCACCCGCCCGGCCGCCCCCCGCCCCCCGCGCGTCCCCGCCAGCAGGGCCCGGCCGCCCCCCGCGCCCGCCGCCCGGGCTCTCCGGGGCTTGAGCTCAGGGCTCGGCCGCCGTCCTCCCCGGCCCCGTTCACGCTGCTCCAGCTCCGCTTCCAGCTTTCTGCGGGTGAATTGGGAACGAGTGCCGAGGCCGCCCTGCCGGGCTGGCTTCGATCCGCCGCAGCCCGGCCCTCCCCGGCCCCCGCCCGGCCCTCCCCGGCCCCGCCGCCCGGCCCGCCCCGGCCCCGCCGCCCGGCCCGGCCCGGCCCTCCCCGGCCCTCCCCAGCCCCCGCCCGGCCCTCCCCGGCCCCGCCGCCCGGCCCGGCCCGGCCCTCCCCGGCCCTCCCCAGCCCCCGCCCGGCCCGCCCCGGCCCCGCCGCCCGGCCCTCCCCGGCCCCGCCGCCCGGCCCGCCCCGGCCCCGCCGCCCGGCCCTCCCCGGCCCCGCCGCCCGGCCCTCCCCGGCCCTCCCCAGCCCCCGCCCGGCCCTCCCCGGCCCCGCGGGTCCCCCCCACCCCCGCGCCGCGCCGCGCGTGGCCCCGCAGCCCCGTGACCGCCCGGGCTTGAGCACGCCCCCTGCTCCCGCCGGCCCTTCCCGGCAGGTTTTCTCGCGTTTATTGGCCCTTGCCCCAGGACGGAGGAAGAAAACCAGCAATGAATTATTTTTTCTTTTTTGTGGGTCGTGGGGCTTGAACTCGGGGCCTGGGCGCTGTCCCTCAGCGCTACCGCTTAACGCAGCTTCCGTGGTGCTGAGGATTCGAACCCAGGGCCTGGTGCATGCCAGGCGGGCGCTCCCAGCGCACCAGCAGTGGATTCCGTCCAGAACTGACCGGCCGTTGCGGGATTGCAGCAGAACCGCGTCCTGAGCAGTGCCCTCAGCCCGTTTTGCCTTAGCATTTTTTTCTTTTGTCCGTTGTAGGGCTTGAACTCAAGGCGGGGGCGCTGTCCTTGAGCGCTACCACTTGAGCCACCGCGCCACTTGCGGTTTTTCTGGTGGTTGGTTGGAGATGAGAGTCTCACGGCCCTTCCTGCGCCAGCTGGCTTTGAGCAGCCAGGACGGCGGGTCTGACCCCCAGTGCGCCTGCGCTTGTTTTCAGGAGGCTCTCAACCATGACCAGGTTGCCTGGAGCTCCCTGTCCTTGCTGAGTAGCTGGGAGGACAGGTGCGAGTCATCACACCCAGCTTTTCGTCGGTTGAGATGAGGTCTCATGAGCTTTTGGCCTGGATTGGCCTCCAACTACAATTCCTCCGATCTCAGCCCGGGCATGGCTGGGATTACAGGCATGCACCACCATGCCTGGCTTATATGTTTTAAAATTACTTTTTTATGTTTTTGAATTGCTAGAAATGGGACCTGGGAGGGTTTTGTGTGTTAGGCATCTGCGTTACCACTGAGCTGCACCCTAAGCTTTTGGCTTTGCCAGTCTTGGGGCTTGAACTCAGGGCCTGGGCACTGTCCCTTTGCTCAAGACTACTACTGCTCTACCACTTGAGCCACAGCGCCACTTCCAGCCTTTTCTGTGTATGTGGTACTGAGGAATCGAACCCAGGGCCTCGAGCCACCTTCCCTGCCCAAGCCCTTGGTTTATGGAGACAGGTCTCTCCTTGTAGCCCAGGCGCCTCCTGCGCCTCCCGAGTGCCGAGCTTGCCGTCCGGCGGAAGCTGCCCGGGAGCTTCGTTCCTCCCCGCTTGACCCTGTTTACTTGGGACAGGTCCTCCCTGGCGGGTCCCTCCGCGACCGCAGCCCGGGGTCCAGTGCGGGCCGCTCGGCACGTGGCCAGCCGTCGCGCCGTCCGGAGGCCGCGGAGGCCGGGCCGCCGGCCCCGGGCCCCCGGGTGGGCCTCGAACCCAGCGTGGGCCGCACAGTGAGCGGCGGTCTCGGGCGTGAGGACCCGGGGTCCCCGCGCGTGGAGAGGGCGCGCACCCCGGTCTGCCCTCCGGCCCCGGGAGGGGGGCGGCGGGGCCCCGCGCTCCGCCTGGAGTGTTCGCGGCGCTGACCGGCCGCCTCCCCGCAGGCTACAGCATGCTGGCCCTGGGCGTGGGCGCCCTGCTGGTGGGCTACTGGGGCATCACCCGGTGGAACCGCGAGCGCAGGTAGGGCGCGGGGTGGGGGGGATCCGCCCCGGCGGCCGCGGCGGCCCCCTGGCTCAGAATAACCTAGAATAACCATTGCTCAGGCGGCCGCGCCGGGCACTGCCTCCTCCCCCTCCCCGGCCGCGCGGAACCTTCGGGAACCCTCCCGCCCCACGCCCCGGCTATTTCGGGACAAAGGGACGGGCCGCGTGAGCCCGGAGCCCGCGTCCCCCCCCCCCCCCCCCCGGCTATTTTTAGGACAATAGAAGTTTTTAATTGGGAAGAAAGTGTGCAGCCAGCCGTCCTGGGGACGGAGCCCGGCGGCCCTCCCCGCCGGCCTGACCCGCCCCCTGCCTCGCAGGCGTCTGTACATTGAGGAGCTGGAGGCGCGCCTGGCGCTGCTGCCCCTGTTCCAGGCTGAGCGGGACCGCAGGTACGGGGGCGGGGCCGTGGGGAGGGGGCGGGGCCGCGGGAGGGGCGGGGCGCCCTGACCCTGCCGGCCCCGCCCCAGGGTCCTGCGGATGCTCCGGGAGAACCTGGAGGAGGAGGCCATCATCATGAAGGACGTGCCTGGCTGGAAGGTGGGTCCTGGAGGGGCGCGGGAGGGCGGGCGGGGCGGGGGCGCGAGGGCGGGCTGGCTGACCGCCCCGTCCCGCAGGTGGGCGAGTCCGTGTTCAGCACCACGCGCTGGGTGCGGCCCCAGATCGCCGAGCTGTACCACCTGCGTCCCAACAGCGAGCGCTCTGCGGCGGCCTTCGGCTTCGTGACCCACACGTAGACGGACCGCGGCCGCCCGGGCCCCCCGCCCCTCCCTCCCCTCCCCGCGCCCCCGCCGCCCGCGCACAATAAACGCTGGAGACCTGGGCTGCTGTGTCGGGCTGGGGAGGGAGAGCTCTCGCCGCGACCAATGGCCGTGCGCTGCGCCTTCGCGACGCCTCCTGATTGGCGGGCAGGAGGGGCAGCGCGCTCTGGTTGGTGGGCGGGAGGGGAGTCCCCGCCCACCAAGGATGTGCTTGGTTTAAAAGGCGGCGGGCGGCCGCGCATATCGCTCAGCTCCGCAGACATGAGCAGCTCTGCCAGGCCGGACCCCGAGACGCCCGAGGAGCCGCGCTTCCTCAGGTCAGCCCGGGGGGCCGGGCCGCGGCCAGCGGGGAGGGCGGGAGAGGGGAGAAGCCGCCTGGGCAGTGGGGCCCGCGGGGCATTGATGGAAGCTGCTCCCGCTCCACCTCCCGCCTCCTCCAGATGCGGGTCCCGCGGGGCGAGTCCTAGGCCGGGGTGGGTGGCGGTGCAGTGCTGGGAGACAGGCACAGGGGCATGAGTGGTGCATCGGAGCGAGGCGTTGAGATGGAGGAACGCAGGAAGGGGTGCAGTCCCTCCTGGGGGCTAAGGCGGAGGGGCAGCAGAGCCCCGCAGATGCCCTGCCCGGAGCGGCTGGTGCCCCGGAGGCGCACGCCCATGGTCCCAGCCCCCCGCCTGCCTCATTCGGGGGCTGAGGACCCCAACTCCTATCCCTTGGAGACAAGGGTTCACAACGTGGCCGGGCTGCCCTCCAAAGGCTCCGCTTCCTGCTGCACCGGGCGCATCCTCCACCTCCCCGCCGGGCTCTGCAGCTCCCTCCCCCTGCTGCGCCCAGCCTGCCCCCCCCCCCCCCCCCCCGCGTTCCCAGCTCCTCTCAGACTGGCACCAGAGGCTCCTGGCTGCCCCCAGCCCGATCTGCAGTGAAGACCACCCGGTCGCATCTTTGAGATCCCAGCGCCGCCGCTCACTGCTGGGGTGGAGCCCAGGCCTGCGCGCACCTTCCCACCAGCCTCAGCCCTTCACACGCGCATTTCTCAATAGGAAGTTGCTTTTAGCCTAACGTGGCCTGGCTTGAGCAGCCTGTGGCTGGGGAGGGAAGGGAGGGGAGGTGTCTCAGCACAAGCAGCTGGCCTGAACCCCCATTCCCAGCCGGCCAGCACAAAATGTTAGTGACTTGTGAACAAGTCACTGGACCTCACAGATCGTACACCACCTACCACCTTCACATTTACCCAGAGAAGCGTGCAGAAGACCCAGGGGCCACTCACCTCTGCGAGTGAGCCTCGCCCTCCCCCCACCTGCCAGCCCAGTCTGTCTCCGCTAGTGTCCAGGAGCTTGGGACATGGCTTCCCCCTGCCAAGTGCTTGCGGGGCTGGAGGCGTGGCCCCAGTCTGTAGCTAGCCAATGAGCAAAAGCAGCCACAGCACGGGCACCCAGTTCAAGTCCCGGTTACAGACCTAGAGAATACAGAAGTCCTGTTAGGCCAGGCATGGTGGCCACACCTGTAACCCTAGCACTCAGGGAGAGGCAGAGGACTGCAAGGCTCTCCTCTCCATCCCTCTGGTCTCCTTTGGAGCAGCCATGTCCTGGCCAGCGCCACCAGAGGGCGCACGCCCCCAAGCACTGCCATTCCACTGGTGCTGGTCACTTAGGGAAACGGATCAAGAAAGGCCCCGGCAGGGCGCTGTGGCTCAGGCCTGTCATCCCAGCTGCTCAGGAGGCTGAGATGCAGGGCTCGCAGTCCAAAGCCTGGGCAGTAAAGTCGGCGAATCTTCAATTAACCACCAGAAGGCCAGGAGTGGAGCGATCGCTCAAGAACACAAGCCTTGAGCACAAGCGCTCAGGGACAACGCCCAGGTCTTGAGTTCAAGTCTAGGACCAACCACACCGATGGGATGGTCCAGCTGTGCCTGAATGGCATCTGCATGTCTGTCTGTCCATGGTCGCTCCCCCCCCCCCCCCAGCGCGGCGGAGGTGGCCACCCTGGAGCGGGAGCTGCTGGAAGAGTACCGTTTCGGGCGACAGCAGCTGGCGGAGCTGTGCGGGCAGGCCAGCGCGGTGGCCGTGACCAAGGTACCGCCCTGTCCAGTGTGGCCCAGTGCTGTGCCCAGGCCCCCAGCCCTCCCCAGCGGGTAAAGGAGGACACGGAGGGTTTAGAGATGGGGCAGGAGCCCAGCCCCCATTGGGGCTGGGGAGGGGCAGGGACAGGCTAACCGAGTCCAGCGGCGTCCGGGCAGGAGCCTGAAGCCCAGCCCTCCCCCAGCGCGCCCCCGCCCCGCCCCCTGGCCTGCTGCTGCCCTGACCCTTCTCTGATCCGATCCCTGCCCCGCGGTGTCCCGCAGGCCTTCCCGCTGCCGTCCCTGCCCCGGAAGCAGAGGACCGTGCTGGTCGTGTGCGGCCCCGGGCAGAACGGGGCGGTGGGGCTGGTGTGCGCCCGGCACCTGCGCATCTTCGTGAGTGGCGGGCACCGTTCGTGGGGCCTGAGGAGGGAGGGGTTGGGCGTGGCTCCCCGTGCCGGCGCCCCCTCCCCTCCCCCCGTGCCGGCGCTCCTCCCCTCCCTCCCCCCCGTGCCGGCGCCCCTCCCCTCCCTCCCCCTCGTGCCGGTGTCCCTCCCCTCCCTCCCCCCCCCCCCCCCCCCCCGTGCCTGCGCTCCTCCCCTCCCTCCCCCTCGTGCCGGTGTCCCTCCCCTCCGTGCCGGTGCCCCCTCCCCTGACCCCCCACGCACCGCGCCCCGGCCGCCGCAGGACTACGAGCCCACCATCTACTACCCCACGCGTGCGTGCGCGCCCCTGCACCGGGACCTGACTACGCAGTGCGAGAAGATGGACATCCCCTTCCTGTCCTACCTGCCCGCCGAGGTCAGCGGGGCCGCCGCGGGGCGGAGGGAGGGCCGGGTCGCGCCCGCCCCTGACGCCCCGCGCCCGCCCCGCGCCAGGTGCAGCTCATCAACGACGCGTACGCGCTGGTGGTGGACGCGGTGCTGGGCCCCGGCGAGGGCCCGGCCGAGGCCGGAGGCGCCTGCGCACGCGCGCTGGCCGTGCTGAAACTGCTGTCCATCCCGCTCGTGAGCCTGGACGTCCCCTCAGGCACGAGCCGGGCCGCGGGAGCCACCAGAGGGACAGCGGCCGCGCCCGCTGCACACGCGTGGGGCCGTGGGGCGGGGGTGCGGGGCTCTGCCCGAGGGGCAGGTCCGACGGGGCGGGCGGGCGGGGGTCAGGCCGGTGTGGCCGAGGCGCCCTGGCCGACCCTCCGCCCCGCTCGGCCCCGCAGGCTGGGACGCGGAGGCCGGCGGCGGGGAGGACGGGCTGCGGCCCGCCGTGCTGGTGTCGCTGGCGGCGCCCAAGCGCTGCGCCGCGCGCTTCTCGGGGCCGCACTTCGTGGCCGGCCGGTTCCTGCCCGACGACCTGCGCCGCAGGTTCGCGCCGCGCCTGCCGGACTTCGCGGGCACCGACTGCGTGACGGCCCTGTGAGGCCACCGCACGCCAATAAACTCCGCGCCTTCGAACCCGCCTCTGCCTCCTCCTTCTCGGCGGGTCGCGGCGGGGTGGGCGACGCGGGGATCCCGCATCCCGCACCGCGCGGCGGGGCTTCGCGCCCGGCTGCGGGTTCAGTGCCGAGGGCCGGGCCGGAGAGGGGGCGACGCCCCCAGCGGCTCCAGTGCGGGGCGCCCGGGGCGGGGCCTGGCCGCGCCCCGCCCCGCTCCGTCCCGGGGCCGCGGGACCCGCCCGACGGGGCAGAGCGCTCGGAGCCGCTCACAGCTCGGACCGGCGGCGGCGATGGCGTCCGCGCGGCCGCTGCTCTGTCTGCTCGCGGTCGCGCTCCTGGCGAGAGCCCGAGGTGAGGCGCCGGCCCCGGGCGCGGACCACAAGGGCCCCTCGCTCGCCTCGGGGTGCGGGGCGCCGGGGTCCCCGAGCCCCGGGACCGTCGGGGCGCCATGGCGCCGACCCCGTCCGACGCGGGGCGCTGAGCCACGGCCGCACCGCAGAGCGGCGGCGCTGGCGATGGGCGCGCCGCCGGGGAAACTGAGGCTACCTCCGGCCCCCACCTCCGACGCCGGGCGAGGGGCCCAGGGCTGTCAGCCACAGCTCGGGCGCGGGTGGACCGGGAGCCCGGAGCCCCGGTGACCTTGCGCTCCCCTCCCGCAGGCGCCGCGCCCACCGAGGGGCCCGCGGCAGCGGCGCGGGTGGCGGCCCAGCCCTCGCCCATCCCGGAGGGCTGGGAAGGTGAGCGGGGCCAGAGACGGCCGGGGCGGGGCGGGGCGGGGCGGGGCGGGCGGCCTCCCGCAGCGCTCGGCAGGGCCCGGGGCTCCAGGCTCGCCCCGGCTCAGGCGCGCGCCGCCCGCAGACGCCAGCGAGTGGACGTCCTGGTTCAACGTGGACCACCCGGGGGGGGACGGCGACTTCGAGAGCCTGGCCGCCATCCGCTTCTACTACGGGCCGGCGCGCGTGTGCCCGCGGCCGCTGGCGCTGGAGGCGCGCACCACCGACTGGGCGCTGCCGGCCGCCGTCGGCGAGCGCGTGCACGCGAGCCCCGCGCGCGGCTTCTGGTGCCTCAACCGCGAGCAGCCGCGCGGCCGCCGCTGCTCCAACTACCACGTGCGCTTCCGTTGCCCGCTCGGTGAGGCCGGGGCGGGCGGGCGGAGGGCGACCGCGGCGCGCGGGGACCCCGGAGCGGGGCCTGCCAGGGGCGCCGGAGGGGGCGGGGCGGGGCACCAACTCCGCCCGGGAGCCCGTGCGCGGGACGGGGCCGCCCCCGGGGTCCTGCAGTCCGGAGCGGCTGCCGCGCGTCCCCGAGGCGCGGGGGGCCCTGACCTCCCGCCGTCCGTCCGCAGAGCCTGAGTGGGGCGCGTGGGGCGCGTGGGGTCCCTGCTCCGGGAGCTGCGGGCTGGGCCGCCGCCTGCGCAGCCGCAGCTGCCCGGCCCCGGCGGGGGAAGCCTGTCCCGGGCCAGCCCAGGAGGCGCACAAGTGCGCGCTGCCGCCGTGCCCAGGTAGGCCGGGCCGGGCGGGGCGGGGCTGGCGGGGAGGTGGGGTCCGGGGCGGGGCTCCAGGTCCCCGGCCGGCCTGTGCGCGCCGGCGGGGATCCCTGGCGCCCCCCCACCCCCGGGCCAGACACCACGCCGGCCAGGAGCCGATGGAAATTCCACTCGGGCCTGAGCGCCACAAACACGGCTCCTCCGAGCCCGCCGGGGCCTCTGCCCGGCTCTGCCCTGGTTTCCGCTGGAATTTTCCGCTGTGTGTGCAGCGGGGCGCGGGGCGGGAGGAGGAGGGGCGGCCCCGACGGCCCCTCCCTGGGCTCCGCGCCCGCGCCTCGGCCCGCGCCTCCCGCCCGCGAGGGCGGAGGGCGGCGGAGGGGGTCCTCGCGGGAGGGGCCGGGCCTGCCCCCCGCAGCCGCGCTCTGTCCCTAGGCTGCAGCCCCGACGCCTGCGGGTGCCCCGACCACGTCCTCCTCGGCTCTGTGGTCTCCGCCGCCGGGCGACCCCTGCCCGGAGCCAGGGTCTCCCTGGGAGCCGGGCCGGGCGCCGTGGCCACCAGCGACGCGCGGGGGACCTTCCGGGTGCCTGGCGTCTGCGCGGGCGGCCGGGCCAACGTCAGCGCCCAGCTGGACGGCTTCTCCGCCGGCCGGGCCCGGGCCGCGGCCAACGGCTCCGCCTCGGCCGTGGTCACCATCGTCCTGGAGAAGCTGGGTGAGCGCGCGCCGGGCCCGCGCCGCCCCGCCCCAGGCGCCGGGACGCGGGTGGAGGGCAGCCGGGCAGGAAAGGCCCCAGGCTTTCCAGCTAACCAGAACAAAGCCCGGAGTAGAGCCGTGACTCGGGCGGTAGAGCGCCTGAGTGAGAAGCCCGGGCCGGAAGGACGCTGGGGGTGCGGGGTGACACGGGGTCCCTGGGGTCAAGGGAGGACAGGAGCTGTAGCGGCTCGCGGGGTCGGGAGGGGGGCAGGGTCGTGACCTTGGAGGTCGTCTGCCCCAGGGAAGCCCTACCTGGTGAAGCACCCCGAGTCCCAGGTCCGCGAGGCCGGACAGAACGTCACCTTCTGCTGCAAAGCCTCGGGGTCCCCGACGCCCAGCAAATACTGGTGGTGAGCGAGCGGGCCGGCTCCCTGGGCTCGCGGTGTCCGCGGTATAAAGTGGGGGGCTTCCCCGGCACGGCGGGGGACAGCGGGGCGGCGACCCTACCCGGCCGTCCCCCCCCCCCCCCCCCCCCCGCCAGGTTCCACAACGGGACGCTGCTGGACCGGCGCCAGCTCGGGTACGGGGCGCGTCTGGAGCTGCGCGGGCTGCGCGCGGACCAGGCCGGCGGCTACCACTGCAAGGCGTGGAGCGAGGCGGGCGCCGTGCGCTCCCGCAGCGCCCAGCTCGCCGTGCTGGGTGAGCCCCCGGCCCCGCCTCCCCGCGGGCACCCCCTCCCCGCCGCCCCCCGCCGCCCGTGACCCGGCCGCCCCCTGCCTCCCCAGCTCCCGGCCAGCCGGCCTGCGACCCCCAGCCCCTTGAGCACCTGATCCGGCTCCCCGACGGCTGCGGCGAGCCCGGCGGCGACGGCGGCCCCGCGCACCTGGACGTGGGTCGGTGTGCGGACAGCCCGTGCCCGGGGCCTGCGGGCGCGGGGTGCGGGGCTGCGAGCTCCCGCTGCTGCTCCGTGAGCCGCCTGGAGGCCCGGCGGGTGAGGTGCGCGGGCTTCGAGCTGCCGGTGCAGGTGGTGGCGCGGTGCGGGTGCCGCGCGTGCCCGGCGCCGCGCGGCCTGGTGCGCGGCCGCGTGCTGGCGGCGGACTCGGGGGAGCCGCTGCGCTTCGCCCGCATCCTGGTGGGCCGCGAACCCGCGGGCTTCACCTCGGCCCACGGCGCCTTCACGCTGGAGGCGCCGGCCTCCACCGAGCGGCTGGTCGTGACCTTCGTGGACGCGGGCGGCGAGTTCGTGGACGCGGTGCGCGTGCTGCCGTTCGACGCGCGCGGCGCGGGCGTGTACCACGAGGTGCGGGCGCTGCGCCGGGCGCCCGCGGTGCTGCTGGACGCGCGCCGGGGCCACCGCCTGGCGCTGGGCGGGCAGCAGGGCCGCGCGCCGCTCGGGGAGCTGGTGCTGCCGCCCGGCGCCTTCCGCCGCGCCGACGGCCGGCCGTACGCGGGGCCCGTGGAGGCCCGCGTCACGCTCGTGGACCCGCGCGACCTGGCGTCGGCGGCCGCGGCGCCCAGCGACCTGCGCTTCGTGGACGCCGACGGCGAGCTGGCGCCGCTGCGCACCTACGGCATGTTCGCCGTGGACCTGCGCGCGCCCGGCGCGGCCGAGCAGCTGCACGCGGGGCCCGCGGCCGTGCGGCTGGCGGCGGAGCACGTGCGCATGGCGGGGCACGCGGAGGCGCTGCGGCTGTGGTCGCTGGAGCCCGCGACGGGGCTGTGGGAGGAGGAGGCGGCGGTAGCGGCGGAGGGGCCCGGGGCCGAGGGCCCGGGGCGCGAGCGGGAGGCGGGAGCTGAGCCGGCCGAGCCCGGGGCGGGGCGGGGCGGCGGCGCGGGCGCGCGGCGGCGCCGGCGCGAGGAGCGCGCCTTCCTGGTGGGCCACGTGCAGCTGCGCGAGCGGCGCCTCTTCAACCTGGACGTGCCCGAGCGCCGCCGCTGCTTCGTCAAGGTGCGCGCCTACGCCACCGACAAGTTCGCGCCGGGCGAGCAGGTGCGGGGCGTGGTGGTCACGCTGGTCAACCTGGAGCCCGCGCCGGGCTTTTCCGCCAACCCGCGCGCCTGGGGCCGCTTCGACAGCGCCGTCACCGGGCCCGACGGCGCCTGCCTGCCCGCCTTCTGCGACGCCGAGCGGCCCGACGCCTACACGGCGCTGGTCACCGCCTCGCTGGGCGGCGAGGAGCTGGAGCCCGCGCCCTCGCGCCCGGGCCCGCGGCCCGACGTGGTGGGCGTCCCCGAGCCCTACCTGGGCCGCCTGGGCTACCGCCGCACCGACCACGACGACCCCGCCGCCAAGCACAACGGCTTCCGCGTGAACCTGGCGCGGCCGCGGCCCGGGGAGCCCGGCGAGGCGCGCGGCCCGCTGTACCCGTGGCGCGCGCTGCGCCAGTGCCAGGAGGCGCCGGTCACGGACGCGCACTTCCGCTTCGCGCGCGTGGAGGCCGACCGCTTCGAGTTCGACGTGGTGCCGTTCCGTGAGGATGCGCCCGCCTCGTGGACGCGCCACCGCCTGGCCTGGTGGCCCAACCCGCAGGAGTTCCGCGCCTGCTTCCTCAAGGTGCGCCTGCGCGGCCCGCAGGAGTACGTGGTGCGCGCGCACAGCGCGGGCGGCACGCACCCGGACACGCGCGGCCGCCTCTACGGCCTGCGCGACGCCCGCAGCGTGCGCGACCCCGGCCGGCCCGGCGTGTCGGCCGCCTGCCTGGAGTTCAAGTGCGGCGGCATGCTGGTGGACCGGCGGCGGCCCGACCGCACGCGCGTCACCGTCACGCCGCAGGGCAGCTGCCGCCGCGTGGCCGTCAACGCGCTCCTGCGCGACTACCTGGGCCGCCACGCGCCGCCCGCCGCCGCGGAGCCCGACGACGACCCCGCCGCCTTCGCCATGCTGGCGCCGCTCGACCCGCTCGGCCACAACTACGGCGTCTACACCGTCACCGACCAGAGCCCGCGGCTCGCCAAGGAGATCGCCATCGGCCGCTGCTTCGACGGCTCCTCCGACGGCTTCTCCCGGGAGATGCGGGCCGACGCGGGCGTCGCCGTCACCTTCCAGTGTCTGGAGCCGCCCGCCAGGCCCAGCCTCTTCCAGCGGCTGCTCGAGGCCCCGGCCTCGGCGCTCGCCGACATCCGCCGCGACGTGGGGGCGGCGGCCCGGGCGCCTCCGCTGCCCGCGGGGTCCCCCCCGAGCCGCGGGGACCAGTGACCCCCGCCGGGTCCCCGCGCCCCGCCCCGCCTGGAGCCGGGGCCGAGGCCCCGGGAGGGGGCGCCCCGCGGTTATTTATTGGGCCCGGCCCCGGGGTGTCCGGGGCGGCGTTTGGTGCCGGGAGCCCCCGGGCGGGGCCGGGGCTCCATTAAAAACGCTTCCACTCACCGCGTCCAGCTCTGATTGGGGCCGGGGCGCGGGTGGGAGCCGGGGTCGGAGGGTCCCAGTTCAAAGCCCGCCCGGGAGACTCGGACCCGAAAGCCAGGGCGGGGCCGCGGGAAGTGCGCGAGGCCGGGCGCGAGCCCGACTCCGCCGCCGGCCCAGCGCTCACCCCGGGCCCCGCCGGGGCGGGCTTCTCCTGACCGGCTCAGGGCGCGGCTCGCGTCGGGGCGGGGCGGGGGGTGAGGCCGGGCCGGGCGCCGCCGCGGCCGTGATGAGGTGTCCGGCCCCGGGGCCAAATACCTCTCGCCGGCGGCGGCGCCAGAGCAGGAGCGGGAGCCGCCCTGCTCCCCCGCGCCCGCCTTCGCCGGCGCCGCCGCGGGACCCCCCCCCCCCCCGCAGCCCGGAGTCCCCCTCCTTCCCCTTGGAACCCGACCGTACCTTCTGGAAAATCCATCCACCACCAGCCCCCCCCCCCCCCCCCCCCCGCCCTCCTGGATCCGGGCTGCCAGGCCCGCCCGGCGGGGAGGTGGGGGACCCCGACCCTGGCGCGGCGGCCGGGGTCAGCCGGGGCCGCCCGCAGCTCGGGGGCCTGCGTCCTCCTAGAACCGGAGCCGCGGGCGCATGCGCGGCCCCCCCCCACGGCTGCCCCCCCCCCTCTGGTTTCGGTGCCGGGCCTCGAACTCGGGGCCTGGGCGCTCCGCCGCCTGAGCCACGGCGCCACCTCCGGGCTTCCGGCCTGGCGCGCGCCGCGCCTCCCGTCTGCGTCTCTCATCAGCCCGGCGGGGAGGCGGCCGCGGGGACGGGCCGGTGCGGGGGCCTGCGGGGGGGGGGGCGCTCCCTCCGGGCCGAATGTGTCATGCTGTCCTCGCCCGGGGTCACGCTGTCCCCGCGCCGCCCTCGGCCTGCCACCTCCGGGTCACCGGCGGGCGCGGGGCAGGGATCCCCGCCCGGGTGCACGCGCGTGTGCACACGCACGCACACTGCCACGCGGGCCTGTGTCGGGGTCCGCTCCGCGCCCGCACGGAGCCCCGTCCGAGATGAGGAAACGGGGCGCAGCCCCCGAGGAGGCTGGGCCAGCGGAGGGCCAGCGGCTGGGACCAGCCAGAAGGGGACGGTGGCGCCTTTGGCCGGCCTGGGCGCTGACCGTCAGCTCTTCAGCGCCAGGCCTGCGCGCTGCCACGGAGCCGCCTTCCTTGAAGAGGGCATTTTCATAGGGGCTCTTAAGGGTAAATAGAAGCTTGCCAGACCAGGCTTAGAGACCCACAAGGAAGGCCAGAGTTTTCACTTCAGCCCACACCTGTCATCCCAGCCACTCAGGAGGCTGAGATGTGGAGCTCCAGGTTTGAAAGCAGCCCAGGCAGGAAAGTCCGAGACGCTTACCTCCAGTGGGCCACCAAAAAGCTGTATGGGAGCTGTGGTTCAGGCAGTAGACCACCAGCCTTGAGTGGAAAAGCCCAGGGGCAGCACCCAGGTCCCGAGTTCAAGTCTCAGTACTGCTTCCCTGCAAAGCAGGCTCTCCTGAGGCCTGTGGGGGTCTCAGGCGGAGGAGGGAGGGAGGGAGAGCCCGTCCCCACCGGCTCGGGAGCACTGGGGCAGGCTGGGCGCCCGGGGCTCAGCAAACTTGGGCAGGTCAGGTCCATTTCTTTCCTCGTTTTGGTTTGGTTTCGGGGGCAGGGTCTCCCCATGCAGCCCAGGAGCCTTGAACTCACAACCCTGCTGCCTCTGAGCCCGCAGTCACAGGTGTGGCCACCGCACCCAGCCGAGGAGGCCCGAGACCCCACGCCGCCCGGGTGGGCCAGGCAGGTGCAGACTGCCGTGCTAGAAACTTCCAGTGAGCTGGCTGCGGCCAGGGACACACGAGGCCCCGGCCCTGCCAGACCCAGGGAGGCCAGCCAGGCCCCGCCGCCGCCTGGCCCGGATGAACGCAAACTCGGCCACGTCTGGCCAGCGGAATCTAGGTTGTGGTCAGGCCGTGGCGGAAGAAGCCACTGGAAAAACACAGACCCGCGGGGCCAGGCCGGGGGGGGGGGGGGGGGGGGGCGCATGTCCGCCCTGGCCGCTGGACCGGCCGCGTGACTGGGCACAGGCTCGCGGGGCCGAGTGGCCCCCTTGGCCCCAGACCCCCGCACCCCCGCCCTGGACACTGACACCCCCTGGTGAGCCAGGTCTGCTGCTGCCTCACCTGGAAGACGGGGAAACTGAAGTAACCTGGTCTTTCCAGGCTGCGCGCGCCCCCTGGTGGCCCGAGGCGGGGCCGCAGTGCGGGCTTCGTTCTGCGGGGCGGAGCAGGCGGCTGGGCGAGGCCCCAGAGGCCTGGAGTGGGCACCGGTGCTGTCATCCCCGAGTTGCCCCGAGGACGGGACCCCCGGGCCGGGCAGCCTCCGGCCCAGCCCTGTGAGAGGCTGCGGCTCGAGCCCCTCCCGCAGCAGTGAGCAGGGCCCGGGACCCAGCGACTGGAGGAGGCAAGAGCTTGTGTTTGCGGCCAACCTCAGCAGTTAGGCAGACCCTGTCTCAGCAACAAAGTGTACAACTAGAGGCGTGGTTCAAGGAGTAGAGCACCCATGCTTGAAGCCTACAGCCCTGAGTTCAAGCCTAAAAGAAAAAATAAGAGGGTGCTTGGCCAGGCGCCAGTCACCCTAGCTACTCAGGAGGCTGAGATCTGAGGACCATGGTTCAAAGCCAGCCTGGGCAGGAAAGTCCATGAGATTCTTATGTCCGATGACACCAGAAAACTGGAAGTGGCGCTGTGGCTCAGCGTAGAGCACTGGCCTTGAGCTGAAGAGCTGAGGGACAGAGCCCAGGCCCTGAGTTCAAGCCCCAGGACTGGCAAAATAATTACCTAAATAACGACTCCCATACACACAGAAGGCTGGGGCGCCTGGCCTGTCCACCCACGGAGTGGGAGGCTGGCAGGGCCTTCTTTAGTGAGGCCCTGACTTCTGGAACTGAGGTTCCCACAGGGAGAAACCTTCGAGGCCTGAAGTACCAACTAAGGACCGTCCCAGGGTGACACCCTGCCAAGGGGCCGTGCAGTCGACCCCGACTGAGACCCGCCAGAGGCGACGGGAGGCGGCAGACACCAGGCAGACTTAACGCGTGCCAAGGAGCCATTTATGCAAACACAGCAGGAGGGGCCTGGGAGCAGCAGGGACTGAGGGCCTCCCCCCCCCCCCCGCGCCCCCCCCCCCCCCCGCACCCCCCATCTGACAGCCACACACCCCAGCTGGCTCCAGCACACCCCCTGGCGGCCAGCGGCGGGACAGCGCGAGCCCCTCAGCAAGGCCAGCATCACCCACCGCCAAGCCGGGGCCACGGCGTGACGCCTCAGGAGCTGAGACCTGAGGGTCCCAGTTCAGAGCCAGCCTGGGGCAGGAGAGTCCATCAGACGCCAATCCATCAGCCGAACTGGAAGTGGAGCTGTGGCTCAAGTGCTAGAGCACAGAAGCTGAGGGACAGCGCCCCGGCCGCGGACCTCGCCGCTCACCCCGCATCCTTCCCACCTGCCCCCCGAGCCAGTGAGGGGCGCCGGGCTGCCGCTGCCTGGCAGCGCGGGGCGGCCGTCTGCCCCGCGCCCCTCCGGAGTGTGTCTCGCGTGCCCCGGGCCACGCACGGCAGGGGCGCCCAGTCCCCTGGGATATGCTGGCTATGACTCATGCCTGTCCCCAGGGACTGTGACAAGGGACCGTGCAGACAGGGCAGGCGCGGCTCCCCGAAGGACAGGGCTGACCGTCACCCCAGAAACGCCATGGTGGGGTGCAGACACTGGCTGAGGAGCCCACGGGAGGCCCAGGGTGGGGGCAGTGCGCTGGGAGGGCAGGCTCTTGGGTGGACACAGGGGATGGCCCTCGCCCTGCCACGGCTCTTGGGGACAGCGCCACTGCCCCGCTCAGGGCGCAGGGAGAGGCCGGCCCCCCAGACCGTGGAGCTGGGGTGCCCCGGGGATCCTCCCAGGCCCTTGGCGGGGAGACACCCCCACCCCCGCGGGCCCCCACTCCCCCCAGGGTGCCCGCAGGCGGTGCCCCGCTCCCCATGGCCACCTGCGTCTCCCGGGGAGACCTCCCCGCACCTGCCGGAGCCCGGCAGACGCAGGCACAGCGCCAGGCCTGCGCGGAGGAGGCCGGGCCACGGTGCCCACCGCGTCCCGTGGCGGGAGGTGGGGGTTGTGGGCAGCCATGCCTGGGCGTGCCGCCGTGTATGACCCCCTTCCGGCCGCACGCTCGCTGCCAGCCTGGGCCCCCGCGGCCAGCGTGCGCCAGGGGCCACGCGCCAGAGCCCCCAGCCCCCAACCACCGCGAGAAGGGGCCGGTGCCCCGGCGCCACGGCTCACGCCGCTCATCCTCACCACTGCGGAGACAGACCTGAGGATCACGGTTCTAAGCCAGCCCGGGCAAGAAGTCTGGGGGTCTCGACCTCCAAAGTAACCAGCAAAATGCCAGGCTGGAGGCGTGGCCCAGACCCTTCCTCCCAGGCCTCACCCGCCAGGTGGTGCTGGTTCTCACCCCAGGAGCCCGGGCCTCAGCTGCGAGGCTTCTAACCTAGTGGGGCTCCTCCTCTTCCTGACCTCTTTGGGGGAGACCCCCACCACCTGCTCAACTGTGCCCCAAGTTAAAATCTTGCCAGGGCACCAGTGGCTCACGCCTGTCATCCCAGCTACTCAGGAGGCTGAGATCTGAGGATCTTGGTTCAGAGCCAGATCTGGGCAGGAAAGTCTGTGAGACTCTGATCTCCAAGGAACCAAGCAAAAAGCCAGAAGTGGTGCTGTGGCTCAAGTGGGGAAGCCCCAGCTTTAAGTAAAGCTCAGGGCCGGGCGCTGGTGGCTCACGCCTGTCATCCTAGCT